GAGGGGCTGAGGGAGCTGGGAAAGGGGCTCAGCCTGGAGCAAAGGAGGCTCAGGGGGCCCTTGTGGCTCTGCACAAGTCCCTGGCAGGAGGGGACAGGGACAGGACATGAGGAAACACCCTCAGGTTGCACCAGGGGAGGTTTAGATTGGATATTGGAGAAAATTTCATCACTGGCATGGTCCAGGACAGTCCCCATCCTCGGAGGGATTTAAAAACCTTGAGGATGTGGCATTTGGGGACATGGGTCAGTGGTGGCCTTGGCAATGCTGGGGGAAGGGTTGGACTCAATCTTAGAGGAGTTTTCCAACTTAAATAGTTCTAGGATTTGATATGGCCCTCGCCAGAGGCAAGACACGAGCTAAACATGGAAGCAAAGGGAAGAAAACAAACCCTTCCCAAGGCAGGACAGATTGTACCACGCAGCCTGTTCCTGGTTCTGAGCTCAGAAGAGGGAATGAAAAAACAAAAGCCCAGCAATTTTCCTATTATTGCAGAAAAATCCCATCAGAGACAACTGTCAGTGGAGAAGCCTGAAGCCCCAGAGGGGCATTTAAGGCTCCATTAGCTGCCAGGAAAATGAGCTCCAGAAGAAGCCAAAACCCCTTCCTGAGCTGTGACATGGAATGCCAGAAAAGAGTGGGAGGCTGGGAAAAGCCTTGGAGCAGCCACCCTACGGGGTACGGAAAAGTCTCTGGATGGGCAGACTGCAGCTGCCTGGAGGGATCAGGACAGGATTCAGTGGATGATTCCTTCCGTTGATTCAGGTGAATTTGGGAATCTTCCAAATTCAGCTGGATTTGTGGGTGGCACAAAGAAGGTGCCAGGGCTCTCAGGACGGCTCCCACCATGGCTTTGGTGCTGTGCTGGGTCAGGACTGGAAGTTGGGAGAGCTCTTGGGATGTGTTTTCCTGAGCTGAGGTGGTCTGGGATGGTGAAAACACGGTCGCCTCCGTCTCACCCACTGCTTTGACAGCGGGAGCAGAGCTGGAGCTGCGGCTTTGCCACCTCCCCCTCATTCCCCAGCACGCTGAAGAGGTCCTTGGGCTGTGAGAGAGAGGAAAGCAAAGCCAGGACGAGGAGTGGCCCCTCAGAAATGGAGGTGCTGTCACAAACCGCAGCTCGGTTTGCTGTGCCCCGCATTTCCTTGACGAAGTTCCTGTTACAACAGCGTGGTTTTAAAAATAACAGCCAAACCCACTGGTGTGTCTGCAACCTGCTGTGTCCGTGCCGGAGCCATCCCTGCTGCAGTAATTAAAGAAAATTAAAAATTAAATTGTTGCAGCTGTTGGAACAGCCCCAGGGCCACAGGAGGTACATGATTCTCTGTCCTTGAGGCATTCTGGAAGTAACCTGTGAAGCAGCAAGTGCTTAAATAAAGGCAGCTTGAGTGAGGGCTGGTGTCCTGAAGGATGGAGAGAGCATCCGAGGCCACTGGGACGGAGCACGTGGATTTCTCATCCCTGGATGTGTTCCAGGTCGGATGAGCCTCAGAGCAGCCTGGGATGGTGGAAGGTGTCCCTGTCCATGGCAGAGGGTGGGACTGGGTGGGCTTCAAGGTCCTGGCCAGACAGACCCTTTGGGGACCTCTGATGTAGGAGAGGGGGACAATGGGGACATGGCACGGTGCCAGCCATGGGGCAGGGAGTTCTCCATGGGCTCCTCTGAGCCATGGGAATTCACCTGGGCTCTGCTGGGGCTCAGAGAGCTTTGGGCTCCTGGAGCCAGCGCTGGGGCTGGCTGTGCCTCCGGGCTCCAGAGCACTACTGGGAATGTCTGACCTGGATGGGCATCGGGATTCCTGGATTAGCACTGGGACAGAGCTCCTGGAGCCACAGCGGGACTGTACCGGGGCTGGCCGGGAGAGCTGCTCCGGGTCTGGCTCAGGGACCGGCCGTGTGGGGGGACCCCCGAAGCCTCACGGGGGCTCCTGGACCGACACCGGGGCCGATCCTGAGGGACGCTCCCGGCCGGGCAGCGGGGCTGGGCGTTCCGGAGCCAGGGCTGGGTCACACCGGGGACTGTCCCAGCGGTCCCGGGGCCGGCCCAGCACTCCCGGACCGGCACCGGAGCTATGGGATCGCTCCAGGACTGGCCGTGTCCGGGATTCTCAGACCCGCACAGGGACTGGCCGTGTCCGGGGCTCCCAGACCGGTACCGGCACTCTCGGTCCGGTCAGGGTCTGTCCGTGTGCGTCCCCCGCCTCCTCTCCGTCCATCCCTGCGAGCGCAGTGCCCGGGGGACCCGGGGCGGTACCGAAGGAGCCCGGGGCGGTGCCGGGGGGACCCGGGGCGGTACCGAAGGAGCCCGGGGCGGTACCGGGGGGACCCGGGGCGGTACCGGGGGGACCCGGGGCGGTACCGAAGGAGCCCGGGGCGGTGCCGGTGGGACCCGGGGCGGTACCGAAGGGGCCCGGGGCGGTACCGGGGGGCCCGGGGCGGTACCGAAGGGGCCCGGGGCAGTGCCGGGGCAGTGCCGGGGGTGGCTGGGGAGGTACCGAAGGAGCCCGGGGCAGTACCGAAGGAGCCCGGGGCGGTGCCGGGGGTGGCCGGGGCGGTGCCGGGGGCGGCGGGCGGGGCGGTGCCGTCGGGGCGGGCGGTGCCGGTGCCGGTGCCGGTGCCGGGGGCGCATTCGGGCGTGCGGCGGCGGCGGCGCGGGATGAACGGGACGGGCCGGGCGTGCGGACGCGACGGGGCAGCGCTGCCGGCCGGGGCTCGGCCTCTGGTCAGCGCCCTCATGTTCTCGGCCGGGCTCCTGGGCAACCTCCTGGCTCTGGGGCTGCTCCTGCGCGGCCGCCGCGGGCACCGGCAGCGCCCGCCCGCGCTGTTCCACGTCCTGGTGCTGGCGCTGGTGGTCACCGACCTGCTGGGCACCTGCTCCGTCAGCCCCTTGGTGCTCGCCTCCTACCACCGCAACCTCACCCTCACCGCCCTGGCCCGCGGAGGGCACATCTGCCTTTACTTCGGCTTCGCCATGAGCTTCTTCGGCCTCGCCACCATGCTCATCCTCTTCACCATGGCGCTGGAGCGCTGCCTGGCCCTGGGGCGCCCGTACTTCTACGAGCGCTTCTTGAGCCCCCGCACGGGGCTGGTGGCCCTGCCGGCCATCTACACCTTCTCGGCCGCCTTCTGCTCGCTGCCGCTGCTGGGCTTCGGGCGCTACGTGCAGTACTGCCCCGGCACCTGGTGCTTCATCCAGATGCACCTGGATTCCCACCAGAGCGACGCGGAGCTGGCGGGGCTGAACGTCACCTTCTCGCTGCTCTACGCCACGCTGCTCCTCTTCCTCATCCTCGCCGTGCTGCTCTGCAACCTGAGCGTGATGGTGAACCTGGCCCGCATGCACCGGCGCGGGCAGAGGAGCCGCAGGGTGACCACCCTGGAGCAGCCCCGCACGGCCTCCGGCTGCGGCCGCCGCATCTTCTCCATGGCCGAGGAGATCGACCACCTCCTGCTGCTCTCCATCATGACCATCATCTTCGTCATCTGCTCCCTGCCCTTCACGGTGAGTGTCGCCGTGTGTCCCACTCTCCCCAGCACCCGCGTTTCTCTTTATGAAGCTTCTCCCAACTCTGCTGGCCAAACCTCGGGGGTTGAGGTCAAAGCTTTGCTTGGGAGAGCCCAGCTCAGCCATGAGCTTGGCAATGTGCTGGGGAGCGGGGGAATCGCTCCCTGCATCCCCAGTGCCAGCAGGAAAACAGTGACAGGGGGACGGGGTGACAGGAGAAGGGGGCCACAGGAGAATGGGGTGACAGGAGGATGGAGTGACAGGAGGATGGAGTGACAGGAGGATGAGGTGACAGGAGGATGGGGTGACAGGAGGATGGAGTGACAGGAGGATGAGGTGACAGGAGGATGGAGTGACAGGAGGATGAGGTGACAGGAGGATGAGGTGACAGGAGGATGGGGTGACAGGAGGATGGGGTGACAGGAGGATGGGGTGACAGGAGGATGGAGTGACAGGACAAAGGGGTGACAGGACAACGGAGTGACAGGACAACGGGGTGGCAGGAGCAGAGGTGCCCTCCCACCCCACAGAGGCTCTGAGGCCAGGCCATGTGGCTCCGGCAGGGAGCTGGGGGTCCCCTGGACCACCATGGCATCGCTGCAATTCCCAGGATCTCGTGGTAGAGGTGTGAGGGATGACGAAACAACCAATTACACTTGTAGAGACGGGCTGGAGGATAGCCCTGGGCTGGAGACAGTGGGTATCCGTGCTGGATGGGATGAGTTATCCCAGATTTCTGTGGATGGAGCTGGAGATGCAGGAGGCTGCACCCACCTCACTGTTAGACAGCGGTTTCTGCTTCTCTACAACAGCACCAAGGCACAGAGATGAGAGATCTCTGGGAACAGAGATATGGGACAGTGGCCACAGCACGTGTCATCCCAAGGGATGTGCCATCCGTGCACGAGGCAGAAATCCGGGATCAGAACAGCCAAGTGAGGAAGTGGAGAGAGAAGTGCCCTGACTCTTGTCTGGGCTCTCCCCTCCCAAGGGCTGCTTTTCATCCATCCAAGTGCTTTTCCACCAGGAGCATCGATGGCTCTGCAGCACCTCGGGCCCCCCGAGGTCAGTTTGGTGCCATTAGAAGTGACCCCATCAAGGCTGGGAGCACAGCCAGTGCTAATTTCCTACTCTTGGTGTTGAATGGACTCTGCCTTTCCTTCATGCTCCCTTGCTTTTCCTAAGGGAAAGGGAAATAACCACAGGATACAGCCCAGCCAGTGCTTTAGGACAAAGGAATAATGTCCAGATGCTTGTGAGCATCCCAGGAGCCCCAGTGCCCTGAGAGACACTTGAGTCCTGACCATGAACCCACACATGATGGACAGCTCTTCCTGTGTCCCAAAAAAGCCCTGCTTTGGCTGCTGTGGTCAGTACAAAGTGGAACCCCTCGGTGGGGACACGTGGGCAGGGGCAGAGGGGCTGGGAAAGCGGCCCTGGCCGGGATCCCATGGGCCCTGTGGTGGCAGATCCAGCTTTATCCAGAGCCAGCTTCCCTTTTCCCATCGCCCGGCTCCCTTGTGGGGCTGCGCTTTGGCAGCGCCTCAAACCCAGCTGCCTCCTTGGGGGTGACACTTTCTCTCCTGTCCCCACGGCAGCCACCGCTCCTCCCTGGAGCAGTCAGGGCACACACCAACCCACGGGGCCACAAATTCCTTTCCAAAACTCAGAGGGGTTTGGAAAGGCGGCCAGCGCGGGCGGTACCCAGCGGATCCCGGGCAGGGCAGGGATGCTCCTGCTGCCCATCCCCATCCAAAGCAGCTCCCCAGCCCGGAGCGAGGGGGTGGTGGGTGACCCGAGTGAGTAAGGAGTGCTGAGTCACCCTTCCAGGAAGGGCTGGGATGAGTCAGCAGTCTCAGCAAGGTCCAGCACCCCTCATCCTCTCCTCTCCCACGTTTATTACTCCCGTGTGGTCTCAAGGTGAGGGACGCCACTTCCTCCAGCAGTTTAATTGTGGCTCCAAACGAAGGGGCTGGCTTTCATTTAAAGTTCATTTGAACCCGTGGAGTCAGCAAATCCGCTGTGACAGCCCAAGTTGCCCCAAGAGAGCTGCCAGATCTTGGGGGCCCAGGCACGGGATTATTTCTCCCTGTGACTTCTCCCTGGTTGAGGGGGGTGATGGTGAGACCCCACTGTGGTGCTGTGTCCAGCTCGGGGGTCCTTCCAGCACAGGAGGGACCTGGAACTGTTGGAGTGAGTCCAGAGGAGGCACCAAATTGATTAAAGGGATGGAGCAGCTCTGCTCTGAGGAAAGGCTGGGAAAATTGGGATTGTTCACCCTGGAAAAGAGAAGGAATTGGGGTCACCTAGTTATGACCTTCCAGTACTTGAAAGGAACTATAGGAAAGATGGAGAGAGACTCTTTACAAAGGCCTGGAGTGACAGGACAAGGGAGAAATGGATTCAAGCTGACAGAGAGGAGGTTTAAATGGGATATTGAGAAAAACCTCTTTGCTGTGAGGGTAGTGAGGCACAGCTTGTCCAGAGAAGCTGTGGCTGGAAGGCTTCCAGGCCAGCTTGGATGGGGCTTGGATGAACTTGGGGCAGTGCAAGACCAGCGGGGTGGAACGAGATGATCTTTAAGCTCCTTCCCAAGCCAACCCTCCCCCCGATCTCGCAGATCCGCGCCTACGTGAACAAGTCGGGCGGGGAAGAGGCCGACCACGAGTGGGACCTGCTCGCCCTGCGCTTCCTGTCCATCAACTCCATCGTGGATCCCTGGGTGTTCGCCATCCTGCGGCCGCCGGTGCTGCGCCTGATGCGCTCGGTGCTGTGCTGCCAGCTGAGCCCCGACGGCCGGAGCGCCTCCTCCGCCGTGACAAAGCTGGCGGCACGGCCGGAGCTCTGCGGGCAGTAAATCCATCGGTGGTTCCTGGAGAATCCTGCCTCCTGGCAAAGGGTGTTCTGCCTTAGGGCTCACCCAGAGACGTGTCTGCTGCAGCCTGGGCCAGCTGGGGGTGGCGCAGGTGTCACACCTGGGGAAGCCCCCGTGGCCTCCCACAAGGTGGGAAGGGCTGGTGAACACCCCTGGGTGCTGCTGTCACCCTGTTTCCACCTGGAGAAGGGCTCAGCCCTGCTGGGGAGGTGAAGCTCGGGGGGCTTTGCCATAACCCCACGGCTGGGGGGTGTTGGGAAGCACAGATTCCTTCCCAGCAAGGTCTCTGTGGTTTTTTGGGATGCGGGCAGGGCTACAGCTCCTGGGGATGGGGCTGGGTGGCTGCAAACAGCAGACTGTGCCCCCAGATCCGTAAGGATTGGGAAGGAGAGGAAGGGAGTGGTGTATCCTCAAAAATTCCCCCTTTTTGTAGGCTGGTTGCCTAAAGAAATGCACTTTTTCAGGGCAGGTCTGTGTGCTCGTGTCTGTCCGTCTGTCTGTCCCACACCCCTGAGATTTTAGGCACCGGTGGGTCCCTGAGGGGCACTAAAAAAGCCAAATTTTGGAACTTCCCTGGCGCTGTGCTGGAGCAGAGCAGCCTCTCCTCAGCACCCGTTTGGAAATTCCCTTTGCCCCGTGATTTTTCCAAGAGCCAGAAAAGGGATTAAAGAGCCTGACCGGGGAATGGTCACAGCCATGAGCTTCACCCACATCCAGGGTGGTGCTGCTGGTGGGGTCTGGGTTTGTCATTGGCTGGGAAAAATATTTATTTAAAATAAAACCCCCCAGGTCAGCAATCCTGCCCCGTTGGGCAGCATCCTTCAACACCACTATTTTGTTTTTTGGGATTCTTCTTGCTCTTTGGGACTCCAGGATTGTTCCCACTGGGATGAGGAGCATCCAGCTCCACATCCCAAGGTCACCACTGCCATTAGGAATTTTCTTGTGGCTCCCATTTGAGCAGCATCCGACACACCCAGTGGCTCTTGTGCAATTCCCAGTGTGGAGTTTCATTTGGGAGCTGCAGCTCTGCTCAGGGAGCCCAAAGGTGCTGAGATTTGGGGCTTTTCCGTGGTTTGTGAGTAAAAAAAATAATTGTTATTATTTAAATAATAAATATCTCTCAAAGGAGCCTGCTGAATCATGCGTGGGTTTGTGCCTGTGATGCTCCTCAGGGTAGATCTGGCTCCTGGAGGAAATGTGTTGGATGTGGGATGAAACCACAGGAATGGGGGGAGAGGGCAGCAGGAGAGGCTGGCAGGGGGAGATGGGCGCCTCCAATTTCCTAGAAAGTGACAATAAACTGTGTTTTACAGATGTAAAATGGCATTTTTTAACCAGAGCTACAGAAACCCCTCACCTCTGAGCTCTTCCCTAAAACCTGCCCATCCCACAGCCAGGGAAAGGCAGAGAAAGCTCCCACCTGTTATCAAAACACACCCCCCAAAAATACCCACCCTAAAAAAAGGCAGAATTGAGCTCACTTCTGTCAGGCAGCCAAAGTCCACAGGAAGTTTTCTGGCCTCCCAAATGCGTGTGGGCAGATGTCAGCCAGGGGCTGCTGTTGCTCAAAAGGGTTTTTTTGGCAGCATCCTGTGGCTGGGGGGCTTTGGAAAGGCTGTGGAATTTTAGGGATAGGGTTTCCAGATGTGCCTGCCCACATCTGGGGGTGAAGCTGGGGTGTTCCCCACACCTCTGGAATGTCATTAATCCTTGGGAACCCAAATTTGGCTCCAGCACTTGGAGGGCACAGTTGTCCCTTCCCAAATTATTCCCTCATCCGTGCACACAGCAGGAGGAAAAGCACATTCCAAGCTCAGTTTTGGGGCTCCCATCGTGTCTCAGGGTGTGCTCAGCTGGAAAAGGAGCCAAAAACCTTGGGAAGAGCCTTGGGTCCTTGAGCTTTATTTATCTGGATGGTCATGACCTGGTTGCTCACGTTGGAATTTCGGGACCAGTTGCCTAATTCTGCTCGAAGCCAGAGGGAATGGCTGCCTGGAGTGCAAAGGATCCAAAGAAAATTTAAAATAAAAAGGGGGAAGTGTTGGAAATGGCAAGGAGGTCACATCCTGCGGGGACCAGCGTGCCAAGGAAGGGGACAGGGCGGGAAGAGAACCCAGCAGGCACAACCTGAGGGGAGGATTCTCCCAAAATCCGAGGATTCACTGCTGCCAGCCCCCAGCTCCTCTGCTGACCACTAATTACCATGTTTGTGTTTTTGGGAGGTTTATGGCTCCTCATCAGGGAATGCAGGGATGGGAGAGAACCTCCCTGCATCCACCCCTGGGATCTGCTTTTTGCTGCAGGGGAGTCACTCTCCCGACCATCAGGGCAGAAATCCTGGCAGGTGGGCTCAGGGAAATGGTTTGGATCAAATTTAATGCCAAAATAAAAGAGAAATTGGTGTGTGCAAGGAGAGGAACCCCTTAAACCTGAGTCCCTGTGTAAGAACTCATCCTGAGCTGCTGCCCAGGGGTTACCCCCAATCTCTGGAATCAAAAAACTCCTTCCTTCCCTGCTTCCAGAGGAGGAAAGAGCCTTCACCAGGGCTCTGTGAGGACAAGGAGGAGCGGGAATCTCTGCATCCTGAGCCATGAGCCTGCACAAAACGCTGCTTTTACGAACATCGTGCAGGAGCCTTTGGAAAAGGCAAATTAATTTGCCTCTCGTCAGCTCCGTCAGCGTCTGCTGGGCTCAAGCACAAATGACAAAGTTTCGTTTCATTGTCTGTGCCAGCCCTTAATGAGTTTTTTATTCCCACACCGGAAACCTGCTGGTGCAGGGAAGCTCCAGGCAGGTCTTTAATCCTGCATTTCCATCTGGGAATCTGCTGCTGGAGGGGAGGGAGGGAGAAGCCGTTCCTTGGAGATAATAGAGGGCATCAGCTGCCCCTCAGACTTCTTAAAAATGGGGAGACTTTCCACAGTGGCTGGAGGGATGCAGAGAGTGGGGATCTGATCCAAAACCTGCTGTAGAATCATGGAATGGTTTGGGATGGAAAGGACCTGAAAGCTCAGCCAGTTCCACTCCTGCCCTGGGCAGGGACACCTTCCACTGTCCCAGGCTGCTCCAAGCCCCGTCCAGCCTGGCCTTGGACACTTCCAGGGATCCAGGGGCAGCCACAGCTGCTCTGGGAATTCCATCCCAGCCCCTCCCCACCCTCCCAGCCAGGAATTCCTTCCCAATATCCCGCCTAACCTCTGTCAGCCCCTTATTCTGCCACTTCACCCTTGTCAATAACCCCTCTCCATCCCCAAATGATGGTGATGCCACACAATGGTTTTGGGAAATGGGAATTTTGGGAGAGTAGAGAAGAAAGGAAAAGCACTTCCCTCTTGTTCCCTCCTTTCCTGGCTTGTTTGGAACATCTCCTCCACATTTCTGTGCTGTCAGCAGGAAGGAAATTCACATTTTTTGGCTCTTTTGGCTTTACCATGGTTTTACCAGCAGCTACAAAAGCTCCTCAGCCCCA